TACGCTTGTGAGAACACTTCCGAGATCAATGAGTATTGATTTGTGTTCATTTTATCGCCCGTCGTGTTTTCGCCAATCTTCAATCTCCAAGCAATTAAACAGCTCATCACTGTCGAATCTGACTCCTTTATCGCCCCAGGCTAAAAAAGCTATCATACACGCTGTCAGTGTCTAATTTAGTATTCACGCCGTCGGTACATGATTTGCGATGCTCCCTCTTTGTTTCATAACAAAGACCGGTGATTCTGCGGTCAAGTTACAGGAAACAGGAAATCTCCAAAATCAATCTCAGTTGAGGAAACGCCATTCCTTAATAGATTAGGTATTGACTTTTATGCGCTATTAAGCCATAACCTGAAAGGTTTTCATCATTTCTTGAAAATATTACATGGCAAACACATCCTTTTGGTCGTCAAGAAATCCTCAAACTAACATTGCAAAGCTGACCCCAGCACAACCTTCGAGAAAAGGGTAAAATTAAAATCCCAGGAAATTGACTCTGACTGAACGGCTGGGCTTTATTGAATTGCTGACCCAGAGATAATAGTTGAAATCACTTTGGAAATCTTCCAAATGCGCGTTTGTCACCTTTGGTGCGACTATCCCTCAAGCCCTATTCTTACCTGCTTCGTGGCCCGACTGCCTATCCACTGTCCTCGGCTCTCAATCCCTCCATTTAATTGGAAATTGTCTTCAGTGGGCGAAGAGGTTTAAACCGTCAGTGTCACTCCCAGGGGAATAGAAAGCGCTTGGATTTGGCTCCTTGTGTCGTAAACTGGCTAAAAAATCCGGTTGGACTGAAAAATGCCTTAAAACGCCGTGGAGTTGAACAGTTAATCACGCGTCAATCTCAGGAGGTGGAAGTGAAGATCTCTCGTTTCTCCCTAATAGTCCGTTCGAACGCCTCGTTCGAAACAGTTAGTTATGCTCTCGGTTGTTTGGCACTGCATCTCTCTTGACTGAGAGACGAGGTCGCGTATCTCGGTTGGTATAATGACACCACCACTACCAGCGCTGCTCAGGGAGTCGACACCCCGTCCCATCACTCATCTTTCTCTCCTGTCCCCCTATAACGTAATCAACGCAATGCCTCGTCGGTTGCTTGGCGTAAACATCGGTGAACCTTTCCTGGCTGCGTGGAGTCAACCTGGTCCGGTCCAGGCGTACACGAGTGTGAGAATACTTGGACATCAATCTATTGGGGAGCTGGTAGACTTGTTATTTACGATCGCATCGTCGTTCCAGAATCCTGAGCATGAGGATGTTTGTCCATTTTTTTCTATGTGCATAATATGTGAGAGACTGTTATTTCATGTCACTTTCACCCCCAGACCAACGTTTGGCCAAGGTCCATTAACTTAATTTGTCTTATTAAAAAAATCGAGATTCATCTTGACTTATTAAACCAAGTAACTTGGGCTTCATCTTCCCCATTTTTGTCTCTCCATGCACAACTAAAAACGTTTCTGTTCAACAGAAATCTAAGAAATTCCACTACTTATGATAAAATGCACATCAATGTGAAAAGTAGAGAAATCATATCTTTTCCACTCTTGCGCTCTCTGATTTCCTTTGATGCCGAAAACGAGAACTCTTTTAACCTGCACCATCTATCAAAACATAAAAGCAAGAAGAGAAAACAAACATGAAGCTTTAAAGCTCACTATTCAACACAACCCGTGAATAATATTTCACACTGCAAACCTTGCAGATTTCCTGAGCAAAGGTCGAGGCGTAATAGTTGCGAAAGCTGGAGCTCAGAACGTGGTACGTCGCGCGTCAATGCCGCTCAAGTTGTGGTATTTCAGATGACACTTACCGGCTCATACTTAATCTTGCAATAAACCTAAACGAACACGTCAGATGGAAGAAATTACACCTGTCTCGATTTCATTCTTTTCCTTTCCTCATTTCTTTCCTTTTTTTTTCTTTCTTCGAATCCCGTAAGATTTTTGATGTAATATCAAACGGCTATTTTTATAGGATTTCTTTGCCTTTATAACGCTCAATCAAAACAACTTCGGACGCAAAAGGGTATTTCTTACAAATCACATACTAAAGGAGATAAATACCGACAGAAATTGAAGGTAAAGAAATTAAATTTGGAAATTTTGCCTAAAGACTCGATTCTAATTCATGTGTTTATGTGCCGGGTTCCTGAAGGTTGTGCGTGCCGTCATTTATGGAAAATGCATCAAAGTTCCATCGAAACATCTGCCTAAAAATGATCTCCACATTCTTAAAATACTGTGCGTGAAGCTGTCATCTGGATAGCTCTTCCGGATCGCGTCTTCCTTGTCCGAGATGCAACAAATAAAAACGTAGACTCACTACTTCTCGTGTCAAATTTCCTGTTTTAGTTCCCCCAAAATATGCACTAAGTTGCGCAGTAATTCGTCCACTGCTTCTAACATTTTGTGTTCACGAAGGATTCACCCTGCTTATCAGAAAATTGTTTTTCTCTTTTTTCTTTCTGTCTCAGTGACTAACCATGAATTTTTACAGAATGAAAAAAGGACCGAATGTATTACTTTTAACAATTTTTGGGGATACAGGTTTTGCGGTCGGAGAGTCTGTGATTGAATCGTGTCTCCTCATTTGTTTCTCCCCGTTTCCTTAGTAATTAGATTTATTCGTTGGGTCGTTTGAAAAATAAAGGATACTGCATGGTGAATCCTGATACAAAACAGACAAAAAATATCTCTCCCAGGGAGATGCACAATATAACCTGCAAAGAAATTATTCCTGTGGGAATATGTCTGTCCTTATTTTCCATCGTGGACAAGGTCGTTTCCGTTACATGTAGTTTCATTTGTGTCCTAGCATTTACCCTCGATTTCCGTTGTTGGCATGAGTTTGAGTGCATGCTTTAGAAAGCTGGGCAGTGCGAATAGCTTACCCGTTAATGTTGGCCGTTTTAAAGGGGATGTGAAATTACAAGTGGAGATAATTATTGTTTTGTTTGGCGCCCCATACGTGCATGCAAAATAGGAGGTGAAGCAGTCCAGCGTGTTTGCTAAATAACCCATGGAGCGGAGCAATAATTATTGTCTTGTTAAAAAATGACCCATCACCAGAAGTAGGCAGATCTTGAAAATAGCTGTCAAATTATGAACCGAATGTTGAACAGGTTTTTTTTTTCCAGTAGGAAATATAAGTAAAAGACATAAGTTCCAACAGTTTCTCCTACCGCTTCCAGGCTAAGTTCCTGTAGCTTCACGCCCTGCGCTCTGCCATTTCCAGTATCTAGTACTATTTTTACTAATTCATTTCCAATAGTTTTCATACCCCGGGGGCAATTACTTCCATTTTTGTTTACAGTGATCGCCACGTCATTACACCGTGCTGCAATCTGTGTTCTCCTTAATCTGTGCCCAAGACCTGAGCGCGCCGCAACGCTATTCTCATCAAGACCCAACGCGGTTTCCAGTCCCAGATTTTTCCTTCTGATCGCGTCTAATGCACTTGCTTGTAATTAAGTTGGCGCGGGCAAGGCCACCGAGTATTGTGACTGCCCATTGATCTGGCGTTTCCATTACTTGCTCCGGTGATTCACTGCGCCTGCTTGCCACAGTCGCAATTTTGGTTTTGGGTGCCGTCTGCGAAATGGTGGTAAGATTTTTAATTTGCGCAGAGACAACACGGACTTCTTTCTGTTTATATGCCTAGAGCTAAAGGTACGAAGCGGAATCGGGTTTTGGTGTAGTTTGTTGATGTGAGCGTGTAAAGGACCAAGATAACGATAAGGGGCCACAACACAAGAAACCAAACGAGAGCTGAATTAGACAAAAATAAAAGTTCGAATGAAGAATAATTCACCTGTTCGGTTTTTTGATAAGGACAATTTCATGAGACGAAGCAAAATATGCGAATTGCTATTAAAAAGCACGCAATATGCGCTGTAAACCGTGCTTTTAATCAGTGCACAGGGCAGACAAGCTACCCTGGTATCGGGGGGGGGGCGCATGCCGTTCTGTTCTAAACTGGGCGTCTGCCGCTTTAGGGGGTGCTTACCTAACACTACATTGTGGGAACGTTTGACAAACTTCCCCGGGAGCGTAGCCCGTGGCATGACGTCATGGGGGTAAAAAGAGTCCGACTTTTCGGAATGATTTCGACCTTAAAATTTTCAACAAATGTAAACACTGCGCTAGTATGCAATAAAGTTCAGTCACCACATAAGAAAAGTGTGTGGAGGGAATTACCAACATTGTACAAGTTGGAAATGTTTCTGGCCAAGAGTAATTAGTGATTAAAGTAAAACCGGTGATCCATCTTCAATAACGCCTTCAAGCATAACATCCAGGGCGCCCTCTACTGAGAGACCTGTTTGTGCCCTGAACGACCCCCCCCCCTTCACAGCCACCACCCCTCCTCTGCTCTCTGTCCTGTTTTGAGCATTCAGAGTCCGTAACAAACAAAAACAAATCGCTGCACATGCACACGCCGGACTCCAGATTTGCAATAAAGGCCTGTCTTCTCCACCGTGCCCCGTGTCATGTTGCCTTCCAAACCCCCGCCGCGGCCGGTGCACACATGCCTCTCCGTCTCCGTCGGCGACGACGTAAGACGAGCGCGACCCCCTTGGGCCGCCCCGGGATCTTTAATAAATGTGTCGCGGTCTGTCCAAACAAGTCGGAGCCGGAGGGGGCAGGCCATGTTACCTGCCACGGCTCGTCCCAAGAGAGCTCTCACGGCCATCATACCTGGGCTGGCCCTTGCATCGATATGACTCCAACGTATGATTTCATTAGCATAACAGATTCCTGGTTTTTTTGAGGGGATGGGAAAGTGGATCTGACTTTCACGTGGTTTGTCCTTTTTCGCGAATTAAAGAGGCATTGGTTCTTATGTTGTCTTAATAGCCTAGCCTAAAACGAAGAACCATACATCTTTTAATCATTATGATATTATGAACCCATTGTTATGTTTAACTGCCACAAATATTTCCCCAAATTTCTGTCATTATATTCACTGTCGAAATTGGTTACATCTCACTGATCTCCTGACTATTCATCTAAAATAATATCATTTCTTGGCGCAACAAAATGAGGGTGTAAATCAGCTTCGTTGATGTCTATTTTGCCTGGTATAGCAAGACGATAAAGTAAAAGATCAAATCCGCATCTAAACAATGGTAACATCAAAGTCAAAAACAGCTACAGCTAAACTTTCACCATTTTGACACCAAAAAAGTCGGGGCCACAGAAGTGTAAAATGGATCTCTGAAACACATCCTGGCAAGTCCAGACTTGAACTTAGACCAGGTAGTAATTCAATCAATGACCATTTTATCAACCAATGATCTATCTTTCCATCTTGTCTGGTACCCAAGGTACATTTTTGTGCCCAGATTTTCAGGGAAAATCATACAGTTGTTAGACGATTTTCATTAGGTGCTAGTGGTACTGGTAACTGATGACATAATAAGTGCATGGTACCAGGCATTTCAAGTGACTCAGTCTACTGCCACCAAGAGTTCTGAAGGTGTCCAATTATTGCCTCTGGATTACGTTGGTTTTTTTTATGTGTGTGTGTGTTTTGGCTAGGTCTCATCTTAAAGAGACACTCAGGATGCTCAGGGGAAACCACAATCATAGCCATCTTTCCAGTCACATGGGTCAACCGTCAGTATAGGAATGACCGTCAGCCGCCGCGCTCGCTTAAATAATTATGCACCCGTGCAGTGCTGCCTCAGTCCCGGGACAGCCGATATGGTATAAGCATCGACACAATATCCTGCGATCGATAAAAATCTCATCGTCGACTGCGATGAATTCCATTGGTTGCGATTCATATTTCTTCCCCGGTGAGCGCCGGCCGATTGCAATTGTCTGTACTGGCGCTACTTGTTGGTTCCTACACCGCAGATATTTTCGACCAACGGGCTACCCCCCCCCCACGTGGACTTTTTTGTTTAGCTTCTCCACCGCTGCGCCTTACATAGCGACATTTCCCACATCATTTGCCCCTCGAGCAGATGGCTGTCACCATTCATCGCTCGTTACCGGTGCTTGACTTCCCCTTTACAGATATTTTCCTTCCTGAATGGTCTATGCAGATGAAAAAAATTCTCGCTCGAAAAGAATTTTCATAG